AAAAAATCATTCTAAAATAATGAAAGACAGACTTACCTTGATATTTTTTGGCAAAAATGAAAGTCAAATTATTTGATCGAATCATCAGGTACTAACGTTAGGATATGGGTGCAATCATGATGGTTCCATAAGAAAATACAAAACTCCAGGAAAAAATGTACAAAGTCATTGTCATCTACACTGCATTTCTTGGGATTAAGGACACCAGTAAATTAGCTTAAAACATTGTATTTATTGTTGCTGACTCTAAATTTTGTAGATTGCAGAACTGTCGATGATTCATTTTGCTTTGCTTGCTTTGACATCAAATTGAGTTTGTTCAAAGGCATCCCAGCTCAAAATATATTCATATACTCATTTTATTCGAGCAATTTGTTTGATCAGTGATTTCCTGTTAATTTACAGTAATCCAAACTTTTAGACTAACTGATAGGAAAAACATTAAACAAATTAATATCAAATGCCAGTTTTAAGTTTTTTAATTAGATTTTTTTATATTGAAATCAAATCAATGTCTTTCATTTGGTTCTAAGATAGCAATTTTGGGACACATAGAAAAGCGAACAGATCGATTTTTATTCCATGTAGACCATTTTTGATTCGATCGGCGTTAATTAACTATAATTAATTAGCTCATCAATATTGGATAAAAAAGCAATTTAAAGGTTTCAGAACTTATTGATGATTTTGATAAAAAATTAACTTCAATCGAAAGCTTTAATTACATACAGTCACTGAAAATTCTAATCATTATCATAGCAAATTATAATATATTATTAAATTATATATATTTTTATACCGTAGAAAGGTTTTTTCAACTTTTTTTGAATTTTACCAATTTCAATTAATATGATTAAGATGCTCTATATTTGACTGTTCTGAACTTGGATGTTTTGGGTGATGAACATGAAAGTGGTGAACAGTGGAATGCCATTGTATTTAAAAGATCTTTATTGAAGTATCATCAATGTTACAAGTAATATCAGATATCCAACATTATGTTCTATTCTTAATGTTATGGTTAACATTTCATAACACATTTTCGAAAGAAAACTTAAATGTTTCTTTTGGACAGAAAGTCCCCTCAACACATTGTTTTTACAAGTGGGATTGTGATCACCACAAGTTGGGGACATAATGATCCATTTTTATACTTTCTAGATTGAATCACCGTTAAAAGCAGACTCGCCGCTTGAATCACTGCTCCCACCGCTCGTAGCACTGGCCACAGCACTCGAATCGCTGGATCCCCCACTTGAAGCGGCGGACCCACCGCTGGTAGCGCCGGCCACACTACTTGAATCGCTATATCTACCGCTTGCAGCGCTGGATCCACTACTCGAAGCTGCGGACCCACCGCTGGAAGAACCGCTCGAAGCGCTGGACCCACTGCCTGAGGAGTTAGACCCATTGCTGGAACACTGCTTAACACATTCTCCAGAAGCATTCTCGAGTGTACCTTTTGGACAGAAGCAGCCTTTAACACAGACAGCTGCACAGGGACCAGGGTTAGGATTAGCACAAGTTGGGGGACATGCTGATCCACAATCAGTGTATACCTTTGAATTCGGGCACCAAGGGTTCCCATCGCTCGAACACTTCTCAACACATTTTCCAGAATCAGTCAAAAATGTGCCTTTTGGACAGAAACAGCCTTTAACACAAACAGCTGCACAGGCTTCGGGTTTAGGTTTAGCACAAGTTGGAGGACATAGTGATCCACATTCAAGAAATACTTTTGGTTTCTCGCACTGTTCAACGCATTTTCCAGAAGCATCATGGACACAACCAGTAAATTTCGAAGCACCAGTAGTACCAATAATAATAGAAGCAGATAGATCGGGAAGAGTACAAGCTGCAAAGGAGAAGAGCATAGCCAAAATAATTATCATGGACTTCATATTGAGTTTTGTTATAATAGTTTATAAGATTTAATTTAATAGTAGGTAAGTTGATCGTTTTATCGAATGAATTTCTTTTGCTTTTCATCTCTCCTTAAATACTAACGAATCAAATATGTTTACTCTAATTAATGTGTTTACTGTCTCTATTTCCACCCATTTTCCTCATGTTCAGAATATTAATTCCTTGCAAAAACTTCTATCTACAGTTTATTTTGTGATTAATTGTTACAATGTTTTGATCAGGTTAGTCAGTTTCTCTTCGAGTTTTATTTCTTTTCACCTTTTTACAGAAATAAGGATACCGATTATTCCAACGTAAACTACTCGATACTATGCAGAGTGAAGGCAAGCAGCTAAACTTGCAGTTCACTGCTGGGTAGGCATAAAAAACCCTTAACCCATAAAAAAATTAATAAAATCATTCTAAAATAACGAGACACAGACTTACCTTGATATTTTTTGGCACAAATGAAAGTCATAACATTTGATCATCAGGTACTAGGACTACTTATTATAAAGTAATTTATACTTCAAATAATAAACAAAACACTGAAATAAATTATTATGCATTACAGTTTTTCCTCGAGTTTTTTGTTATTTTCTTGTGATGCCGTCTAGGTTAGCTACAGGAGAAAACATTCATTTTCACATTTGAAATAATTAGCCCACTTTAATGATTCCCCCAATATTCCTGTTAGCCATCTCCATAAAGGGCAATCATGGCAACTCCATAAGAAACTCGAGGAAAAACTGTTGAAAGTTATTTAATCTATTCATTGTTATTGACTCTTAAGCTGAATTTCGTGGATTGTTGATAAAACCGTTGATGATTCAATTTGTATTTATTTGCCGCTTTTGATATCAAATTGAGTTTATTCGAAGGTATTCCAACTCAAAATATATTCATATACTCACTTTATTTGAGCAATTCATTTGATCAGTGATTTCCTGTTAATTTTCTAGAATTAAAACTATCACTATGCATGGAAAAGCTTTTGAATTAGTTTTGGTTTTTGATTTGCCTTTATTTTCTCGTTTCACTGACCAAAGATATTAAGTGGTTCTTTAATGGATCATTTATGATTAATACATCATGAAAAATTAATGATCAGATCCGATTTTCCGTGAAATCATCTAGTTGTTGCAATCACTAAAATTTCATCATTTGAGTAAAAGCCGCTTCCATGATCTTCAAATATTGAACGGTTTTCGTTCAGCTATTAATAATTATTGATTTGAGTTATGCATTGATTCAAAAAATATCTCTATATCTGGCAAGAGAAAGGCTTAATTTTTGTTTTTCTGATTCTATGTTTCTGAGTTTACAGGCCAATGTGATTATTGAGTGAAATATTATTCTGAACATTTTTGAATAGCTATTTATTTTAACAATAAGGTTCAGTAAAAAATTAATGATTTACAATTTCATCAATTTTCGTTTTCAGATTATTGTTCTTTGCTGATTCGAAGTACAGGTCGAGGAACAGTTGGATCCAAATCAATCAAAGGCTTAGATTTTGGTACCATTGCTGACATTGAGATATAAGGAAAATTAGATCCAGAAGTACGAACTACAGCTGGTTCGAAGGATTGGAAATCATTTGATTCAGGGAATTGACTAAAATTATTTGGAATATCAGTGTAATTTAGAACGGTTGGCTCAAGAATTGAAATTGGCAAAGGTCGTGGTCATGAGCTGAAACCTGGTAATCTTGGGAATGGTTGAGGTAAAGGTACAGTATTATCGATTGGAATTCGTTGCAAGTCACAATCCTCTTCAATAACACATTGACCAATTGAATTTTCCAAATATCCTGAAGGACAGAAGTAGTCAGCTTTACATGATTTAATACAGGCTCGAGGTTTAGGATTGGCACCGGTTAAAGGACAATTAGTGCCACAAGGATTCCATACTTTGGTAGCTGTTCGAGGCCTTGAGTCAAAAATCACTTTGGTAATTGAAAAATTAGTCAAAGAAACTCAGAAAATCAGAAAAAATCTTTTCTAGAGAATAGTTTTGCTCGATTAACGTTATATCGTTATGTGGGCTAAAATTTTTATATTGTTCAAGCCAGTGTAAAGACTGTATTGATGGACAAGTTGTATTTGATGTTCTATCATGTGAAGTTCATTTCAATTACGTTTATATCGATTATATACATGTACAAAAGAGAATTGAGTACAATTGAGAAAGAGAAATGGTCGAAATTATTCTCCTCTTTCTTTATTCTGTCTATTTCCCTGTCTTGACAAATCTATTTCTTATTCTTAACAATGGTCAGTAGGGCAAAACTAACTCTTTATTTTAACTAAAGGATTGCTGCTCTTTCATGTGACGTTCATTCCAATTACGTTTATATCGATTATATACAATTCAATTAATTGAAACATTTTCTTCGAAAAATTGAAAAAACTTGAATGATTGATGAGAATTTATTTTGTATAAAAAATTAAAGTATTGACACAAATGAATACATGATCATTTTGATTAATTTTTGGTCAATCGTTTGACAATAAATGGTAGATATTGAGTCATTTTATGTTTTTTGTGTTCATTTCTCTAATATAAGGTATTTTCAGGGCATTTGGAAATTCATGAAAATGATTCCAGTGTTCAAGAAAATCTTCACGCTCTCAATCCGAACCTTTTGCAGTGTCGTTTTTTCCTTTCAGTTGTATCTGTTGACCCAAAATTATCTTCAATTTAATATTCGTAAAGAAGTTACCAATTATATTGCGAATCAAATTGAACTGCCTAAAATCATATTCTAATTCCATATCAGTTCGCGTTCGATATTAACTTTTTGAAACGAAAATATAAATCAAGCTTCGAGTCGACTTGCATGTACTTTACAGGAAAGAAGGACTGTAATGATTACATAACAAATGTCGTCTTATTTTCTAAAAAATTTGGCCCATCACTGTTACTGTCTGATATTGCCAAGCACTCGTATCCGATTGAAAAGTTTATATCGAGACTTCATTGGTCTGAATCAGAAGAGGATCCAGTCGAGATTGGCGAATGTAGATTAAAACGTAGAGCTTCAGCAGCATATTTAGTTCTGGTGATTTCGTGCTTGGACTCGACTGGTTCGCCATTAAAAGTATCACGAGCAAGAGCCGCTGTCTACAGAACTAACTATTTTTTAGGATTCCCTTTGAATGCGACGGCAATGCTAGTGAAACTCGTTTATCCGGGAAAGGCTTTGGTTGAAGACAATAGTTTTTATGCCTTTGCTGCAAATAATAAGGGCAAACAGGTTTCACTCGGGATTCGCTTCACGAAACATACGTTAAACTTGTTGCCTGCTCCGTACAAAACGATGTGCAAAAACTATGATCGACGTCAAGTCTTTGAAGATTGCCTTAATAACCACTCACTTGCACGAACAGGACTGCTTTATCCTGAAACTACCGTAGACTTAGAAAAGTATAGTCAATCAAATGGAATGCATTTCGCTTCTTCATTGTACAACGACACCGACGATGATTCATTGCTCGAAATTTTCGAAACTTGTGAATCTCTTGTTACTCAACCGATGTGCAACTCAGTTCGTTATTCATTCACAATGGCTACAACACCTCAAGATGTCAAGATAGGTGAAGAATCGTTCAGGTTTTACTTTATTGTCTCATCTGAATTTGACTCTTTAACAGAAAGCAAAGAAGACTTTCCTCTCTCAGATTACCTAATCTTCAGCGGCAGTTTAGTCAGTACTTGGTTTGGAATCAGTATAATGGGTCAATTGCTTACCGCTAGTAACTTGTGTTGTTTAACTCTTAACCGAAAAAGGAAAGTTGAAGTTGCGAGTGAAAATTCAAATTCTTGCCTTCAGTTCAATGGATATTCAACAAGTGTTGTTGTTTAGTCATCAAGAATGAGAATAACATTGTAGGATTAATCCACTACAGATACAAGTGATTGTATAACTGTGATAACATTAATTTCAAGATCATATCACCAATCGTCTGTTAAATATATAAATATCACAGACTTGAAATCCTGGAGCAAGGAAATTTCCAATGAAAGAGTTGCCAATGTTACTATTATTATCATGAAATATTCAACGATTTCATGACATAAGCATTAGATTGTAATTTCCACAAATTTGTTCTTGAAAGAGATTTCACTGAAATTCACAGAAAAAGAGTATCTTTGGTTAAAATAATAACATCATCATCCAATATGGAAAGCTGATTTTGAAATAAAACTTTCAAGTGATAATCACCATTATAAGTATCTTCCATTTGGTAATTTTTTCGTCTCCTTTCGAAACATGGAATATAATTGAAGTCTCTTTTCATCCAACCATTCATTTTAAGCCAAATGAAATCAGAAAACAAACTTGTAGACAATCAGATAGATCAGTCAAGTTAATGACACAGCAACTGTTTACATCGATGGATAAGTTGATTTTCACTTTTTGAGGTAAATATTAAGACTGGACAATTTTGCTTGTAAATTCAATTATATTAGTTTGTAGCAATTCATTACTAATTGGAAATAATTTACGGAAAATGTTCCTGAATAAAAAAGCAAAAAAAAAACCGTTAATTTTAAAATAAAGATTTGTTGCTTAACTCACCACTTGGGTTGTTGGGTAAAT